ATTACAAAATTTGTTGGCAAAATCAATGCATTGATATTTTTCTGGGTTAAAATATTTGATACAATTATGGATTAAAAGCTTAATAGGCATTTTAATGTGATCCTCCATTGTGACAGCTTGCCCCAAAATATAGTGGAGCATGTTGTCGAAATGAATTAGCTTTTACATTTATTCATTTTTGCAGATGATTTTATCCAAAGTGAATATACAGTGTGTATTTACATATACATATAAATATACACAGCACACACACATATATTATGTAAACACAGACTTTTATTTTGGATGCAATTAATCACGATTAATCATTTTGACAGCACTAAAATAAATATATATTTTTTAAATTATTAATGAAAATAAAACACAATTAATTGTGTATTAACACTGGATAACATTGGAAATGTTTTGGTTATTTTTGGCCAAGACTTTAAGGTACTTTGACTTTCAAAAATAAACTTACACTCTTAAAAATGAAGGTTCTAGAGGCTTCTTCAATATTCTGCAGTCTAAGAAAAACACAGTTCTTTTAAGAACTTTTCACTGAAAGATTCTTTGGGGAACCAAAAATGGTTCTTCTATGGCATTGCTGTGAAACACCCTTTTTCTACAGTACATGTCCAAGGCAAAATGGCTAGTAACTGTGCATCTAGACTCTGAATTCATTAAACAACAGGTACTGCAGGCCTATAGTAGATGAAAGAGTCTGCTCTCTCATACTGTTTGCGTGCACCCAGTCCTAACTGTGCCAATCAAGCAGCACCTGAGGACAAAAGAGGAAGAGAAGCCCCTATTCACAGCCTTGTAGGGTGCTTCCTCAATGGAAGGGGGGAAAGCAGCCTACTGTGAGAACATTTTCTCTTTTCCTCTCACCGTGTGGGAAAACTGCTCTGCCCCTCTCACACATCAAGCCGGACAGCCGGACTCACTCATTTATTCGTCCTTTATTAAATGAGACCATGGACACATCGGCTACAATAGCATATATTTAAGAATCAGCAATCAAAAACATAAAAAAATTATGAAAGTACGTTTTGATCTTATTCAGTAAATGTATACAGTATAAATCATATATACACATTCTAAAATCACTATAATATATAAACTGATTTTGATTGTATTTCTTGTGAATAATCGGTCTGAATGCTCTGCATGCTTGGGGTTCAGTAAAATACTGAAAAGGACAAGTGCAGTAAACCGAACAATGCTCTCAAGGGCCTGTTGTTTAGCCCTGGCTTCCAGGACTGCTTTATACATGGTACTTCCTCTGTGGAATCAGTTTTTGTCAGGAGTTTGTGATCTGAAAAGACATGTCCTTGGCACTGGAGCCATATCCTACAGTAAAAAGACATGCCAGGATTGATTAGACAATATGTAAAATAAGCTTAACAGAATAAAGATAAACAAAATTTTGGCTTTTAAAATTATTATATTATGCTTTATTTTATGATTTTCTATAGTGTGTCTCTTCCCTTTTTGATAATAGTGATTTGATATTTTGATCTGTCATACTGGCCATTTTAATAAATATTATTGCTTTTATTAATATCACTGGATTTTGTCCTGTCAAGTTCAGTATTTTAACTCTGTTTTGAGAAAAAAAATAGTAGTCCCTTTTTTTTTGGAAGGAAAAATATTGACAGCATATTGCTCATTTGCGTGTGTATGTAGCCTATATATATAAAAAAATTATGAAAGTACGTTTTGATCTTATTCAGTAAATGTATACAGTATAAATCATATATACACATTCTAAAATCACTATAATATATAAACTGATTTTGATTGTATTTCTTGTGAATAATCGGTCTGAATGCTCTGCATGCTTGGGGTTCAGTAAAATACTGAAAAGGACAAGTGTGCTCTGTTATACTTGTAACTGACATTCACCTGTGTAGTGTGTGAGGCAGGAAGTCCTGGCACACAGCTTAAAATGACTCTTCTCCTATGACCGACAGGCTGGCACACTTGTTTTTCCTGGAACATCTGGAAGCCTGAGAGTGTGGAGTCGCTCTAAGCGGGTCTTTGCAGCTGGCTGCAGGCATAACACTCAGAGGTAAACAGGGAAAAACAGGGAAAAACCCCTCGCATTATCCTCCGGAATAGATGTCTGTATATCCCAGTGTTGAGGGTGGAAATAACCCCCATCAGGGAGCAGGTGCTTCCTCCAGCAAGTCTTCTTATTTATCCACATTTACAGCCATGTTTGGGCAACCATGGACATCAGCTCAAGTTCAAGCCCCAAAGCCTCTTAATGCCAGCAATAGCCAAGAAGTGTTTAATGATCTGATCTGTCACATAGGCAGCGGGCGGCTAAATGTGGTTTGAATCTTAAAAAAATGAGGATTTCTAATCTCAAAGTAACTCCATGTTCTTCATTTGTCATCACTTTCTTCACTTTGATTATGATGCATTTAATAGTTATCATATTCTTCACATATAGGCTAAACTACTATGTATTTAAAACTATACTGAATTACTGATTGAAGTTTAAGATAAAATAGTATTTAGTTCACAAATGTGACCCTGGACCACAAAACCAGTCTTAAGTGTCAATTTCCGAAATTGATACATCATATGAAAGCTGAATAAATAAGCTTTCCATTGATGTATGGTTTGTTAGGATAGGACAATATTTGGCTGAGATACAACTATTTGAAAATCTGGAATCTGAGGGTGCAAAAAAATCTAAATATTGAGAAAATCACCTTTAAAGTTGTACAAATGAAGTTCTTAGCAATGCATATTACTATTCAAAAATTAAGTTTTAATATATTTACAGTAGGAAATTTACAAAATATCTTCATGGAACATGATCTTTACTTAATATCCTAATGATTTTTGGCATAAAAGAAAAATCAATAATTTTGACCCATACACTGTATTTTTGGCTATTGCTACAAATATACCCCAGCGACTTAAGACTGCTTTTGTGCTCCAGGGTCACAAATGTGCTTCTATGTGCTGGTTTCATATGGTTTTGAAAAATGTTTACCATTTTCAACAAAATGTAAAAAAGAATTTACACCTTGAATTTACAACCTGAACCTGTCTTGTCAAAGATCAAATGATATAATTTCCTGTTTAATGTTTTTCCTCCAGCATGTTGGTTGCACTACATGATTTGGCGGACAAAAGTGTTTAGAATATTATAAGTGCATATAATTTAATTAGGAAATAACATCCTATAGGCTTTTTTTATTCGGCATTATGATATTAGGACTATGGAAGCATGTTTCTAAAATAAAATAGAAATAAAAGATAAAAATAAAATATAATAAAAATAAATGTAATTGCAATTTCTTTCCTTCTTTTTTCTTGCAATTCTGACAGAAAAAAGGCAGAATTGTGAGATTTAAGCCCAGAACTGTGAGATATACTAAGAATACTCAGAATTCTGAGAAAAAAAAGTCAGAATTGTGAGATATGAACTCGCAATTGTGAGGGGGAAAAAAAATCAGAATTCTGAAACCTAAACTTGGAATTGTTAAATTTGGAATTTTTTTTATTCCATGGTGGAAACAGGCTTCCATACAAGACAAGGGTTATTGCAC